GACCAAACACAGGCAATCTTGCATGCAGGATTGTGGTCCATCGTCCTGCTCATCTGACATCCCGCTGCTTTGCATCTGCCTGGGCATTCCAGTTCACTAAGCATCTGCGTTCCCATTAGCTCCTCCAGTCCCTTCAACAACACTGAGAAGTAGGTGGGCATGCGCTTTTGTCTCCAAGTGAATGAAAAATTGAGACAGAAAAGTTAAAAGCCCGAGGGAAGAAGGTTGGGAGGGACAGTGACGCTCACAGATCAACCCCTGCCCGCGGAAGGTATTAACAGAAGTCATGCAATTCCAGCCACTGGCATCTCTCACACTCATATACTGCCTGGACTGTTGAGTTTCGTTTATACACACAAATGCAGTAAACTGAGGTTTTTCCAGCTTGGTGCGTTTTAACAGGCGTCTATCCCGATGTACCCACCCTCCAGATTCCGGGTCAGCAGCCCCGAATTCCAAACCTGTGTGCTCCGTTCCCACCAATCCTTCCCCTCTAGACACCAGCACGTGAGTGCCTGTCAGGGGCTATCCCTTTGACCTGTCCTTCAACTTCATCCGTATGGAGTCACAGAGTCCCTGAAACCCGGCACAGTGTCTGCTCCCTGACAGGTATCCCTGTGAAGAAAGCCTTGGTTCCCAAACTACCTAAGAGAGAATGTTGGTACAAAGTGGGAAACTGAAAGCTGTGGCGTTATGGATTACGAGGAGTGGAGCCATGGCTCCTGGGCCAGCCAGGTTCCCATATTCCACCTGCTGTGCCCTCCTGGCTTCCAGCAGGGTGGCATCTCTCTGGGTTCCTCTTGTAGGTGGGTCTCATAAACCTGGGCAGGCAGTGCCCCCTGGTGCCTGAGGACCTGACCCTCTGTGTGGAGCAACAGGATCACACAAGTCTGGAGTCCGGTGCAGTCAGTGACTGGCACAGCGCAGGAGCTTGTGAAATGGAAGTCACCTGCCCTTTTTATTTTCCCTTGGAAAGAGTTTTTTTCCTAGGCTGTGGGGATTTTCCTTATCCAGAAAAAACAGACCAAGGGAGAAGCAGCCTTTTTTGGTGGAGTACTGCTGCCCCCGTGTGGCTATCACGGGACACTACAACAGACTGGGACACCCAAGACGGAAGGTTTTCAGGTCTCAGGTTCTGTGGCTTCCTTGGACCCTGAAAAGCAGATGTCCACCAGGGCTGTGACGCTTGAGTCTCGGTCTGGAGTGGGAACGAGGAAGTATGGGGCTTCTCGTGGAAGGGATCGTTTGGGGAAGCAGCCTTAGGAGTGGGTGTGGGCAGATGCAGCTTCGTATCCTGTCCAGCGCAAGGTGGGCTGGACATAGGCTTCCTCCCTTGCACTGAGTACACAGAATCGTCTAATTTGGGGGCACGAGAGGTCAGGGGAGGGGGACTTCTGGGGAGTGGAGCAGCAGCGCCTCCCCAGCCGGTTGTTGGGCATGGGTGTTAGCATCAGGGCCTGTGAGCCCCGGGCCTGCGGGCCCCTCCCCTGCGGGCCCCTCCCCTGCGGGCCCCTCCCCCGCGGGCCCCTCCCCCGCGGGTCCCTCCCCCGCGGGCCCCTCCCCGTGTGCCCGGTGACCTTCTTTTCTGCACCTGTGGTTGGGCTGCGGTCTAACGGGCCAGCCTACCTCTTCTGGGCACGTGGCCTGGAGAGATGCTATCTCGGACTCTGTATTTTTAACTCTTCTTTCCAGAGGATGTGGCTTCTGCGGGCGAGCTTCAAAGGGTGCCCTGTTTGCCCCTGTCAGCAACCATGACGTCACGGAAACGGGAGGAGGCGATGCAGCCCCAAACACCTGGAGGGAAGTGGGCAACTCTTTCCACTTCCTGTGCTACTTTTGGCTATTGATTCAGTGTCTGACCAGCTCACCACTTCAGGGTGCAGCTGTCGGTGTGATTCTTGGAGAAGATCCGGTGCCTTACATGTCTGGGTGAAGAGAGGCCCGAAGCTGGCTGCGCTGCTCCTGTGGCCTTTACATGGTGGCCCTTCAGATTGCCCCACTGGCCCCCCGTAGCCAGCAGAGGCGTTAGCAAGGGTCGGGGTCTTTGACGGGTCTCTCACACTCACTCTGGAAGAACCAGCCCTAGCTGTGTGTGGGCGGAGGCATCCTTCTCTTCCTGTCCAGTGCAGGGTGGGCTGGACAGAGCCTCCCCCCCCCTTGGACTAAGGAAGCCCAAAGCCCTCCTTCCGACATGCTGCATGGGGGAAGTAGGTTCGAGGGGATTCGTGTGGCTCACAGGAGAAACGGAAGTGGACATGAAGGGACCTTGGGCCCTGGGTGTCAGTGGCCACGTATGACCAGAGCTGAGACTTTTAGAAGCCTGGGTTTCCTAGCAAGTGTCCTCCGGGATTCAGTGGGTTGACCACTGCTTGCCCTCCTGGCGGCCCTCAACAGGCCGCCACTCCAGTTTTCGTTATTGGTAGTTTTGGCCAGGTTACTCTATTCCCTGAGGGGCTGACACGGTGGCTCCCCTGGCCACTTCCTCCGTTGATGTCATCTTTCTTCCCTCTCGAGCCCATTTCCCTCCCCAGTGACTAATGGTGTGGGGCCTCACTGGCTCATCCGTTGGTGTCTGTGGGGTGCTGGTACCCAGCACGAGGACATACTGATGAGCAAGGTCCTCCTCCCATCCCAAGGAGCACGCACAGTCCAGCACACTTCCCCGCCAAGATGTCACTTGATAAACTGTGAGGGTTTCACGTGAGATTTGGGAGTTGAACTTTATGGCATGCCCGGAACCAAAATGAGACCAGACACACCTTTAAGCTTCAGATGGCTGCCTGAGTGGTCAGAGCGGAAACTCCTACCTGGATGCTCCATAGCCCATGCCTGTCCGGCCTGCCTGTCTCCTGCCTGCCTGAACTGGGACCCCAGCGGCACTCAGGAGGCAAATGTCTGGGGGAAGTTTCAAAACACCTTCCACAGCTCTGGCCTTGGGACATGAGGGGTCCGTTTTTCTGCCACCAGAGCGGGTCTACATAAAGCCCTTGAGGGAACAGGGTGTTTGTCTCGACTCTGGACTCGAGAGGCATCCATTTTTACAACTGGCCCTGGCAAGATGTTTGCTGGGGATGGGTGCCCTCCCTCTGTGAGTTGGCCCAGGCTGGTTAAGATGCAGCGGCAGCTTGGTGACCGTTGCATGACCATGTCTCTTCGCCATGACTTCCGGTTTCAGCAGTAGCCCCCTTCCTTCTAGACTAAGCAGTGGTCAGCCTAGAACCCGTCACGAAGGAGTCTCTGCCTGTTCGTAACACTTCTTCAGCCCCTGTGGAGTCATATCCCCAGCTGTGAGGGGATGTTGCTGTTCTGATTGGATGGACATTTCTCTGGGGGTGAAGGTGACCTTGATCTCTTGGTGACCTCCTGCCTGCCTGGGCCTTGTCACAGCCTAGGGTGGGTTGGGCCTGGAAGGAGGAAGCCTCACTCCCAGGGGTGTGGCTGGGTCTTCAGGCCCCTGCCACAGCACCCCACTATGGTCCTCGGGTAACCTTAGGGTTCTAGTGACTTCTAGAAGTTGCTGTCTGGTGGCTCTGGGCTAGTGTGGTTCAGCAGAGGCCTGGGCCTCTTACAGGTCTAGTGGAGGGGTCTGTCTTGGGCCTCTATACTGTCTTCCAGGCTTCTTACTCTGCCCCATGCCCACAAGGTCCCCTTCAGCTTCTGCATAGCCATTGCCAGTTTTCAGGAGCATGCCTACTTCCCCAACCACCCACACTTCCTCTGCCTGGGTCTTTTTTTTTTTTTTTTTTTTTTTTTTTGTAGAACAAAGTGAATTCCCACTTTAGGAGGGAAAAAAAAAAAGACAAACTAATTTGCCCTAAGTTTTTAATGGTTGATAAAGGCTTGCTCCGCTAACCTTCCCAGGGGCATTTTCATTTAATACGGGGGAAGAGAATGGTTTAATTAAAAGAAATTCCCAGCAGTAGTTCTCTGGCATCGTGCCAGACAGATGAGGAGGGGCTGGGGGAAGAGGCCTCGGAGCCTCTCCTCCTCCCGTGGGTGAGGGTGGCCCTGTCGTGGTGGTGGTGTCTCCCAAGGCCTTTCCCTCCAGTCATCTTAAAAGGCTTCTGTGTAGGCTAGAGATGAGACCGCTTGGAAATAATGGGGTTCCGTGGTCACTCAAATCAGGGGCAGCCAGGAGACGGGACATGGGTCTTTGCTGTGGGTAGCATCCGGTACCACCGGACACTTCATATAGATGGTGCCCCAGAAGCTCACAGAAGGGAGGGCATGCCTAGTTCACCCACTAAAGCTGGTAGCCCCATCTCTATGAGCAGCAGCAGCCCGGGTTATGGCTGGGAGGATTTGCGTATTTCTGGCTCATATGGTCGTGGACTCCAGGGGGAACCATGCAAGGATTGGGTGGTGGTGGGGGAAGTCCTGGGGGTGAGTAAGCACTCCTTTTTGGTCTGGAACAGGCAGTTGTTCACTGGTCTCTCAAGTGTATTCCCACCAGAATCCCCACCCTTGGGGAAAGGAGACGGAGGGCAGAGGCTGGGCGGAGAGAGGTGTGCTGGGGACCCTAGGGACTCCCGCTGCTGCTAGAGGTGAGAGTGTAGGACACCTCTTCTTGGCCGAGTGGCAGCCATAGGTTTATAGGGTAAAACACAGTTTCAGCGACAAGTCAATCTGAGTGTGAAAGCAAAAAAAAAAAAAAAAAAAAAAAAATGTGTCCCTGGAGGGCAGGAGCCAGTGGGTGACAGCGTTGGGGATACTTGTCATTCTTGTCTGGTAAGTTTCGGCTACAAGGCAGGACACCCCTCCCCCCCGCGGCGCGGGCCTGTTATGAGTGGCTCTGAGGTGTGGTGTGAGCTGGGACACACACTCGTAAAAGGAGCTCCCTGGCCCTTGGCACAGCTTGCTTAGAGGAATTTTTAAGAGTTCATTCCGAGAAGAGGCTGGGCTGCGTGATATCCGCGTACTTGGGTTTCTCTCTGCCTAGCTGGTGATAAGCAGCATGAAAATGCCCCCCACCAAACCCAGGCAAATAGGATCACAGTTTCTGCTCTTCTGAGTCATCTTTAATGAAGTCACGGGCAGCAGAACGATATACAATGTGGCTCAGATACATACACGGTAGCAGGGAAGGTCTAGACAATGAGGTCATCTTTTCTACACCTTGAGGAAAGGGTAATGTGGAGTTCTTTATGGATGCTTTAAAACAAAAAAACAAAAGCATGTTCTTTACAACATTCTCCAGGAGCTTCTACTGGGGATCTGTCATGGGATGGGGTGGGGTGGTGGAGGGTGGGGAAGTGGGGGGTCTTCATATCCAGGAGAAATCGCAGTCCCCGCCTTTCCTGTGAATGGCCAGCAGCAGTAGGTACAGTAGCAATTAGCAGCAGTTCAGCAATCTCCATCACAAAGTCAGGAGATCCTGTCGGTGGCGGCGGGATTGTGAGCCAGTCAGACCGAGAGCCTTCTTTCTGGGGTGGGAGGGCTCCTTTTTGCTTGAAGAGGGCGAGGAGGGATGATGAAGAGGAAGGAGCTTGGGAGTTCAACCTCTTTCCGTCTTGCTGACCTGGAGTGAGGAAGAGCAGAGGTCAGGCTTAGTACGGACCACGAGGACTCAGGGATGCGATGGGGATGACTTTGGGGCTGTGTCAGGTGACCGGGGGCCTTGTCAGGGTGTAAGCAGGATGACTGGAGCCAGGCTCAGGGGTAACCAATGTAGTGTCTTCCAGCCTCGAGCTGAGAGAGCTTGCTGGGAGCAAGAACCCAGGAAAGGGGGTTCCACTCTGAGAGGCGGGGCCAGAGGCGCATGGTCCATGTGCAGCAGAGTTGGACTTTCTCTCCTCCTCTCCTCACTGGCTACGTGGCTCGTGATGTGACCTGGCCCCACTGCCTTCATTTCTAAATAAGGGTAATCAGAGCTGTTCCACATATATCTGAGGAGAGGCGTGGCTAAGCTGAGGATTCCAAAAGGAGTGTGTTCTGTTAACCACGCTTCAGGCTACTATCACAACGGCAACTTGTAACAGGAAGTACTAGAAAAGGCCCGAGGGTCCAGGCTTTATTTAAACATTTTGCTTTATTTAAAAGCAAATTCCCATGGGAGGTGGTTTGCTCTCAGGCCTGGGTCTCAGCCTGAACCCCCATCCCATAACCCTTCTCCAAGCTTTGACGACTTCTCACCTCAGCTGGACCACAGGCGCAGCGTCATGAGCAGGTTGAATCCGGCCACTTTCAGGAGTAGGATTCGGAGTCCCATCACTGACAGGTTTTGAAAGTTTAGGTTCATATCTGTAAAACCAAGAGGTCGTAGCCGTTAGGGGTGTGTGCATGAGAGGGCTGTACAGCAGGGCACCAAGGACTTTCCCAAGAGCTGGTTAGGTTGGGTGTGGGCGACTTCAACTCCCCGATCCGTTTCTTTTAGCTTTTGTGCACCCGCCAGGGCAAAGGTATTTGTGTACTCCACCAGGGCAAGAGCGTTGTGTTTTAAGACAAAAACCACCCAAAGGACTTAGGCCATACACTACTCTGAGGCCCTGCAGGCTTTGGCATGGGGTTGGGGTAGGTGCTCAGGACATGCCTTCTCAACCCTGTGGGTCTGGGCCCCTCAGTGCAGGCACAGTAGTGATGACTCAGTTAGGAGGTTGCACTGAGACAAGACCCATGCCTGAGGCCACGTGAGTTCTAGGCCTTTCTAGAAAGGAGCTTCTAGAGGGACAGTGTCCTCAGAGTGACACGGTTCGTTCAGGGCTGCTCTGGAAGGACTCACAAACTCCACAGCTGCTGTCTTTAGCTGTCCTGACAGAGGATCTATGACAGAGGCCTGGGAGTGCCTCACTGGCTGAGTGAGGCCAAAGGCACATCTTGCTTCATATGGAGAATGGGAAATGGAGTTGACCATGCTGGAGGGACAGAGCGTGGGCAGCTGGGACCAGGTTTGGAAATGCTGCTCCTGCCCCCAGACCCACCCCTTCTCCTCCCCTGTGCACTAAGGGTGATTAGGAGCTCATTGCTTCCTCCTGCATCATGCGAAATTGGGCAGCTCCTTCTCTTACCTGTTTCAAAGCTTTTCTCTATCAACTTGGCATCGCAGGGAATGTCTAAAAAGAAAAACAAAGGCATTTTCTTAGCGTCTAAACCACGTGACTTTTCTGGGATTCTTTGGGAGAGAAAGAATCCCGGTATGGGGGGACATAGTGCCCAGGGGCAGCCAATGACGCAAAGGTCCCGACAGGACCAATACCCCGACTTCTGGGCACCCTTTCTTTCTTTCAGTGAACGCTGGCTGTGCAAAGTGTACGATTCATGACACGGACCACAAAGTCAAAATAGCCCCTGGACTCGGGCAGGTTTCAGTCCAGAGACCAGTGAAGGCAGTGAGACATATTCACAGCGACTAGGGCGTATGTTTTCATGTATTCCAAGAAGTTCTGAATCCCATTTTTTCCCTTTGTTATCTCCTACTGAGTATCTAGTCCCACTGACTCGGACGCTCTGCCTCCTTAAGCCCTGACGTCTCATTGCTTTTTCTTCTGTGTGTGGTTCTGTCCTTGAAGCCCCAGTGGCGTTGGCCCCTGGAATCCCTACCAGGTGCCCCTCCTGCATTCTCTTTCTTCTGCTGGACCTACAGCCCACCCTCCATGCAGCAATCAGCCTTATATTTTATTTTATTCAATTGTTTTTGGAGACAGAGTCTCAGGTAGTCCAGGCTGGCCTTGAACTTGCTGGGTAGGTGAAGGTGACTTGGAACTTATGATCCTCTTGCCTCTCTACCTATGATCTGGCCCTTATTTACATCTTCTAACTCATTTCCTGCAGCCTTTCCTTGTTCTCAGCAATCTCCTTTCTTGGGCTTTGACAGGGTCCTCTCTGGCCTAGGCACGGCTGGTCCCTTCTTCACCTTTAAGTTGTAGCATGGTAGCATTTCCTCAGAGCCCTTCTCTGAGGTGGTTCTTTCCTCACCTCTAAGTTAATGCATATATTAATTACGGCCTGACGTAATTTACATGTCCCTCTGCTGAGAGACGGGCTTCCTTAATTAGAATGGTGCTCCCTAGGGGCAGCCTCCTCCTCTGACTTCTTACGTCACTCCAGCATCTGCGACTCGGTACCCTCACCCTCTTGGCAGACGGAGAAATCAGGGCAGGCAGCTGGGGAGGGGAGGAAGGGCATGGAAACTGTGCCTGAGAGCTCAGAGAGGGCAAGTCGCTCAGACAAAGACAGGAAGGTGTGAGAAGTCAGAATATCCAGATCAATGCTGGGCTGATGGATGCCCTGTATCATGTTCTCTCGTCTGCTTGAGGGCCAGGGCATCTGTAGCCTGCTGGGACAGGGCTCAGTACTCCTTAGTCAAACGGGATGTGGATTCTGACGACAACTGATGAGTACATGACCCAAAGCAGCTTTTAGACACCACAGACATGAGCTGGGCCTCTCCCGAAGCAAGGAGATGGCGTTGGGCAGCACTCACCTGAGCTGGTGTAGGAGGCGTTCTCCTTGAAGACATCTTGACAGTTGAAACCATTTTGGTCGCTCCAGGCAATGGCTCCGTTGCTCTTGGAATCCATAGACCTCATGTCCAGCACAGTCTTGTCAGAGATGAACACTTCAGATGCCATGTCCTTTGACACATTGACTTTAGAATCGAAGTCGGTGAACAGGCAGATGCTGTTGTTCTTGGACTTGGGATCTCTCAGCTCGTACACTGCTGGTTTTGGGTCCTGGATGTCTGTGGGCCAAGAGGACCGATGTTAGAATGATCTTGTTTTTTTTTTTTTTTTTTTTTAACTTTTTGTGTCCTAACCTAGGCCAGAACTCAGAACCCAGTGACAGGCAAGGGCAGAGCTCTCTGGGTTAGCTGGTATTGTTCTGAGGCTTTATACCAGAAGTGACATCTTAGAAACCAGCTGTTCATGATGGACTGGGGCTTAGGGACAGCACAAGTCATGTGTCCTGGCCAAGATCTCAAGTGCTCGGTATGTAGTCACTCTCCATGAGGTCCCGTTTGGCATTCTGGAAAACCAGAAAGGTGGGGGCCACTAAACCAGCTTGTCATTCTTCGACTTAACAGCATCTTCAAAACCTCAGGAAGTCTGGTCAACAAGTTTGCTCTGGCAGGACGCAAACAAGCTTAGAAAAAAGGGCCCAGGGCACCAAGCTGTCCCTCTAGAGTGCTGTCCCCCAAGTAGGCTAGACACTGGAGGGAAATGCAGGCCTGTGCTATTTAGACATTAAGTTGGAAAAAAAATCTATCACATCACCAGGTGATTTCTCTCTTACTGATAAATGTTTTGAGTACAAACCAAAACACCCACATCCAAGTCCTGACTCTGTAATTTACTCCCAATGGCCTTGATTAGGTCAACGGGCGGCTGAAGTCTAAGAACTTCCATGTATAAAATGGACATGCTCCTTCACCCACCTTCCCAACCAGGCTGTTCTGAGAAATGAATAGTTCTCCAAGTCAAATGAACCTAATCAACCACACAGCACTGAACAAGTGTGCCAGGGTTTCACCATGAAAACGTACTACTGAGCAAACCAATCACACTGTCTCCTTATTCCAGGAAGCAGGGGGGCTACTGGAGGTCTCTCCTCAGTGCTGAGACAATTCTCGACTTTTTCTGAGGGATTTTGTTTTTAATGTGACTCTGGCTGACTAGTTTCCCTCCGCCTTCCCCCTTCAGAGGAGGACGCGGAGGATGGGGAGGCTGGCCAGAAGGATTTAACATAACAGACCACCTAAGAGTTCCCAGCAGGGCTGCGACCAGAACGCCCTGTCCTCCGCTCCCACAGTGCTTCACTATGCATGGAAGTTTTTCAGATCTGGGTGATGCTCTCTGCTCACTGAGACAGCCAGGGTGGCCTTGGCGATGCAGGCTTCCAGCTGAATCCTGAACCAAAGCCAGCAGGCACCGGCATAGCTCTAGGATGCTGAGTTAAGACAGAGCTGCCTGGAGCCTGGTGCTGCCCGTGGAGCAGCAGAGCTGGGTGGGCGCCATGGTCAGACATGGGGCGTTGGCCCCTTCCAGACAGAGAAGGCTGCAGGACAGGGGCTTCCTGGTTTTTAGTCCCTTTCATTTTCGGCTCCATAGATATCTACAGCCACCTTACCTTCCCCCCTGAAAATCAGAAACAAATCACCTTTAATGGGAGGTCTTTGGGGTTCTGTCTCTCAGAGAGCCCTGTGGTGAGAGACATCCAATTCCTACCTCATAAGAAAAGCACATTTTACCACTGAATGGCATCAGAGGTCACTTTAGCAGGACCGGATCAATTTTTCAACTGTAAGTTCAGCTGTTCTGGATCCTAACCTGTCATCACCAATCAAAACGAATACAGAAGGCCATGTCTGAACGTATTAGCCTGCAGGTCCCCAGGGGCACTGCGGTGATGGAAAACGCCCTCGCCACTAAATCTGTGCCCTGTAGTTAAGCACTCAGAAGTGAGAGCTATTGACATGGATGTGGGCCCCATTCAGGTTTGGACAGCGTCAGGAAACAGCGTCACAGGCTTTTCAGGAAAGATGGACAGTCTATCTGCATAGCCCTCCTAATGCCTCTTTACAGAGAAATGTGTGGTTGCCTTCCTCGGAGGCTGGGGTGACCCCCCCACCCCAGAGTCCCATGAAGACGGAGAGGGGAGTCCCTGGCCACCCACGGAAAGAACTGACCCCTCCCATCCTCACACCAGACTGCATTCTAAATTGGATTCTCAGTTTTCTTGTGGCTGGCCCTGGTCCCAATTTCTGTATTCTGTAGAAGGTTCTGGTCTGTCGTTCTATCTTCTTCCCTTCCCTTCCCTTCCCTTCCCTTCCCTCCCCCCTCTCTCTTTTCACTTTCTTTTCTTTCTTTTACATAGGGTTTCTCTGTGTAGCCCTGGCTGTCCTGGATCTCGCTCTGTAGACCAGATTGGTCTCCAACTCAGAGATATCCACCTGCCTCTGCCTTCTAAGTGCTGGGATTAAAACTGCCTGGCTAGTATCTCTTTTTTGGCTTGTTCTTTTAGTCCCTTTTTATTATCAGATTTGCCTACACAGGCCAAAAGACTTGTGCCTTGTTTATTCCAAGAGCAGATCTTTTTTCTTGTTTCCCTCTGCTGGAATTCTGCCTCCCTCCTCCCTGTTCAGATCTTATCAATCTGTCGAGGCTCAACAAATCTTTTCCAGCACAGAAAAGAGCCTCTGTCTAGGGCACCTTCTACCAGGACTTGAACCCATCTGGATTTTTTTTATCCACACGACCATTTGTCGACACTGAAATAGTTCGTTAGGTTGCTAAATGCACAGTGTTCTCAAGCTTTGGCTAGTTTTTATGCTGTTTGGGGACAGGTCATACATCTATCTTAGGCTTTTTTATTCTCAGCCTAACATTATCTAGAGTGATAGCTACTTAGAAGGCATTTAAAAGTGTCCGCTGAATGAGTCAAGTCATATTTTAATGAGTTTGACCTAGAGAAACACAGATATTTAAGATTGATAGCGGTGCCTTCCCCCTTTGCAGAGCTCTGTAAAACAATTAGTTCAATACCCCCAATAAGCCTCACCCTGCCATAGTAACAACGGCCATCTCCAGGGAAAGGATTAATGACACTGACCTACAGGGTTGCCAATGGTACCACTTGGGATGACTCACCAGATAGTACCGCCACTCGGGTTCCTTTCCCGAATGTTAATTTACCTCCTAGTCCTCCAGTATTCACACTGCAGGTAACGCCTTTACAGAAGCTCAGGAGACCTACCTAGTCCATAGACAGAAGATGCTCTGGTCCCCCACAGCATGGATAGTCATAGTCTGAAGACTTAGCTCTTCTGCTGTCTGGTACTACAATTCTGTCTCTGCTCTGAGTAGTCCTTTCCTCCTGTCCAGTTCTACTGTAATTTCCATAAATTCAGTAGAACTCAGGAGATCAAAGCTCCCTGCTCAGAGCAGCGGTACCTTGGATCCTCCAGTTGAAGGATCTAGATTATCACCCACCTCATGATTGCCAACGGGTCAATGTAAGGATGTTTCCCCAGTAATTAGTGCTGGGTGGGATGGGTTCTTTCTAGAATCATTTAAGATCTTGCAGAAGAAAACACCCATATCTTGGACAGAGAGGAAGAGGAAGGACTTGTGCATTCTATCCTTGCCTCATTCTCCATATATGGCAGATTGCTTAATTTGGTCCCTGCTCCAAAGATTAGTTTGAATTCCCACTACAGGTAAGGTCTCTGAAGAAGCCTTTGTGATACCACTCTGTTAGAGCCCACTGGGGTCTCAGGACACTACCCTCAACTGTCCTGAAGTTCTTGGCTTCTTACAGTTTCTTTTTACCAAGGAAACTGTTGCCCTCTCTTTTTACAATAGTAAAAATTTAGTATGGCAAGGCCATGATAATAGTACTAAGGATGTATTAGATACTCTCCCAGTGAAGGGTTCCTTGTTATGTGCAGGCAGCATCTCACATTCCGATGCGGTGTTATCAGTTCGTTGCCGAAAGTGGAAACTGTTGAATACAGCTGGTGAAGGTGCAGCCGAGTTTACCCCAGCTCCGTCATCCTCCTTGCCCACCTTCTGCTCTATCCTTATTCTAGCATGCAGTACACTGGCCATTCACAGGGCTCAGTCATTTTCACCCTTGGGCGAGGGTTCTGGGACTCAACTCAGTTCTGAGAAAAGCCTCTGTGAACTGCCATCCTGTTACCACACTCATTAGCTAACCCAGGAGTTTAACTACCTGCAGCAATAAAAGAGAATTTGTGTTTGCCATTAACCCTCTCTTCCTCCCCAAGGGCACTTAGCTAATTTTCTGAATGTTCAGGTTATCTGGTGCTGATCTTATCAGCTTCGCTTGAAAGCACTGAGTATCTGCAATTCTTTTAATTTTTTTTCCCCTATAAATTATTCTGTTCGGATTTTCATATTCACTTGGCTCTTGGCCCCTCTCTGACTTCAGTATGAGAACTGGGGACACTTTAGGCCACCACAAAAGCCTGTGGAAATAAGAAATGATGTTTTGTGCACCTCAAGTTTGCTAGAGATTACACTAACATCATCAGGCCTTCTTACTCTGGTCGTTGGTACGGGCATACTCACGTGGGCGCACAGCCAGTCTGGTCCCTGATCCAAAGGTCAGCTTATTGAAGCCACCAGATAACACACAGTAGAAGGATGCTTTACAAGAACTCTAACCTGGGCTGGACCAGCCTGGATGGGGTACTTGCCTCCTGCCTCAGTTTACCAGTCTCCCTCAAGTCAGCCTTCCTTTGATGAAAGAGAAGTCTCCCCACTGAGAATTCCCCTCAGAAATAGTCTCATAGACCTTTCCGTCAGCCACCCTGGAGCCAGCGAGGCTTTCCTGAAAGGTAGGTACCCATTCTGACTTCTGAATGTAAGAGACAACTGAAGATGTAAGAGGCAACTTGGAAGAATGTGAGGAGCCATGGATTAGTTGCAACATGGTTTTTAAAGCACACATTGTTTTCTTTTCTGACAGGGCCTTGCTCTATAGCCCAAGGCTGGCCTTGAACTCATGAACCTCCTGCCTCAATTTCTTGAGTGCTGGGACTGCGGATATGTGTCATCGTGCCTGGTAGGAAATGCATCTTGAGGGAAGACGGCACTGGTAACACGTGGAAAACATTGGCAAGGCAGGATGGGGTGTAGGAAGGCCCTCCCTAAGAGATGTCTGTCATTCCTGAGCATGCGCACAGACGACAGTCATCCCGGCAGATCCACAAGGGCACTG